TTATTTTTAAAAATTTTATTCTATATTATCTTTTGTTCCAACCGTGGTTTCGTTGCCGGGAGAAACCCCCCAGCCCCAGAGCGGTTCCCGAGGATGAAAGGGATGTGGGAAGGATGCGGGAGGGATGCGGGAGCAGCCCCGGCCCCGCCGGCAGCTCTGCCTCGCTCCTCCCAGGGCTTCTTCTCTGCCGAGGTGCCGAGAATGGGCGGTGCAGAGAAAAAAACAATTTAAAATACAGATTTAAATATATCTAAATATCTATCAATCCATTAAACGCAAACAAGGCGGCCCCAGCCCGAACCTTCCCCAGTTTCTCCCATCGCGCAGGAGGCAGCGGCGGCTGCTCGGTGAGCAAACCCCACCTGGCAGCTCGACTTTAAATAGCGAAAATCGAGAGTTTAAAGTGAAATAATAACGGCGAGCTCGGCCTGCAGGGCTGGCACGGGAGGGAGCTGCGGCTGCTCGGGGCGTGGGGGGGATTTTGCTCCTTTTCCCCCAGCTCGTGGCAGGGAAAAGCAGGACGGCAATTTGACTTCTCCAAACAAACCCGTCCGTGCCACCCGAGCAGAGGGAAACAAATCCCCTGGAAATGTTAAACACGGAGCCCTGCCTGCCCTCCCCGTACCTGAGTTTCCGAGGGTATAAATAGAATTTCAGCATTTCATCACCAATGAACGCTGCCGATCGAAGCACTCAATCCTGCGTTTGAGCCCAAATAAGAATTCTATATTTTAATGGCCATATGGCAGCACTTTCTCAAAGGCTTCAAATGTATACACACAGTGTCAGATATATTTTGACTTCTCCGCATTAATTAAAAGCAGTGATGTTAGGAATTATTTGCATGTAATAACTGTTTACTTGTTCCTCTTTATGAAACTTGAATAGTTTACATTCTTTCATACATTTCCTTTTTCCTGTTGGCTCCTTCTCCATGTTGCAGTTTCTTTAAAACTCTCCACTTAACTGGTTGCAGGTTGATGGATGGAAAATGTTTTTCTTTTATGAATTAAGCTTTCATTTCTGTAATCAATTATTCTCTTAGGCTCTTTTCTTTCTGGTTGGGCTTTTTCCCTATTTTTTTTTTTTCCCTTTATCCTCGCACAAATTTCCAAACTGAACGCAACCCAATCTCAGCGTGACTCTTGAATTCATTATGAACTTTCTTCCTCTGCCCTCTCGAGCTCGGAATTAGCAGGAGTTGGGGCTTTGGTGAATAAATCCTTCCCCGGGCAGTCCTGCCGAGCGCTCACTCCAGCAGCCTCCGCTGCCTTTAACGGGCGGGACTCGGGCGCTAATTATTTTAATAATTTTTTTTACATATTCCTGTGGGGTGAGGCTTTTTCATATTCCCAGAGGAACAACCCCAGCGGGGCTCCCTGGGGATTTCTCGCCGTGTCCAGGGTGGATTTCACCGCCCGTGTCCGGCGCCGCTTTCCCGGCCCGGGGCTCTTCCAGAGCAATTTACTGTGAAAAATCGCCGCTCTTGAATTTGTATTTCGGGTGTCACACTCGCTCTGCCCTGTTTGGCTCCATCCCTGACAGCCCGGTGCTGCTTTCATTTATTCTGGCAGAAATTTGGAGTCGCTGGGGAATATTTCCCTGTGTGTGTACAAATGTTTGTGTCAATCCGAAGCGAGGACGTGTGGATCCGTAAACACGGATCCTGCTCCAGCCCTGCCGTGTGCCCGAGCTGCGGGAGCCTGGAAAAGCCCGGCTCTCCTTGGGAAAACACCACTTGAAACCGGCCACATTTGGGTATTTTTAGAAATAAGGTGGCAGGGATTATTCCCCGGCGCTGTGAGCTGGGAAGAGCCGCTCCTAATTCCCTTGCCAAAATAAATTCCCATCTCCGTGTGCAAGACAAAGATTAAAAAAAATACAAAACAAAACAGACTTTTTTTTTACTCAGATTGAGCTGTATAAAATGAAAATTATCCCTGCTGCATCTCCCGGCTGGAATCTCCCCCCGGAGCATCCCCCGGAGCCGGCGGGGCTCCCGAACCCGCCCGGGAGCCGGGACCCAGCCCCGCGGAGCGGAGCCGGGCCACGGCGGCGACGAGAAACCCCAGGCCGGCTTCCTGAGAAGGCGGGAAATGACTAAAAGTGATGCTTTTTAAATCGTCATTTTCGGTTCAGGGCAGGCTTTTTGAGAGAGGCAGAACCGGCCCGGCCTGGGTTCGTGTCTGCAGCGAGGGACTCCGGGGCAGGGAGGTTGTTTCACGTGGAGAATAAAAAAANCTTTTTGAGAGAGGCAGAACCGGCCCGGCCTGGGTTCGTGTCTGCAGCGAGGGACTCCGGGGCAGGGAGGTTGTTTCACGTGGAGAATAAAAAAATTAAATATAAATAATATAAATATAAATATAAATATAAATATAAATATAAATATAAATATAAATATAAATATAAATATAAATATCAGAATTAATGCATATAAACAGGAGCACGGAGGTACCGGGCTCAGCTCTGGGGTTCTGTGCCTCACAAACCCTTCCCTCTGCTCCTGCAAATTCCTGAAATAATCGCTCCTCATCCTCCTCGCCCCGTGCTCTGGCTGTGCGGAGGTTTTACCCGCAAGCCCTCGCTGCTGGTTGTTTTTCCCTGATCCTCCTCTGGGGGCTCACCCCGTCCCTGCAGGTCGGCAGCAGGGGCTGCGTCCTTGCGGATTCAAAGGGAAATAATTCCATTTCTTTTGCCCTCCCAAATGCTCCTGTCTGTGCAGAAAGTGAGCTGAAGGTCTGTGCGTTGTTCAGTCCTGCTTTGAACGCAGAGCGAAGGTGGGATTGGGGATTGCTGCCACCCTCAGAACCCGAATTCCTCCTTTCCGTGCTCCACGCAGGAATTCTCCCACCTGGGATAATTCCAGCACGTTCTCCGGGGGAGAAAATGTCATTTTTTCGGTTTATTCCTTTTTACCCCCTCCTAGCTGGATAAATCCTGGTTTGTTTTGCTGTGGATATTCTCCATGTAGAGAGATGATGGTCGGGATCTGAAAACCCCTGATTGCTTCAGGGAAAAGAGAACGGAGGTGGTTTCTTACTGCTTTTATCTGTGGAATAAAGGCTGGAGGAGCAGAAAATCCATCACACCGAGGTTGATACCTGATATCCTGCCGGGGTTCAGACCTCTGGTACCTTTGAAACCCCGCAGGGATTGCTGCTGGGGCTCGCTCAGAGTGGTTTGTGCAGCCTCCATCCTCTAGCTGAATTTCCTGAATTTGGGGAGCCTGAGGGAGGGCTGAGGCCCTTGCTGGGGGTTTCTGGTCTCCCACAGCCTCCCCTGGAATGGACATCGAGGCCAGGCCAGGGGCTGGGGTGAGGCTGCAGGATGTGAAGAGTTTGGGGTCAGGGTGGGCCCAGGGCTGGTGACATCTCTGTGATGATAAAGGCATTTTCAGGCTGTAGATGGAGACTTGTTCTGTGGGGGCAAGGGGGGCTCTTCTTGCAAAATTTGGCTCCCAAGAGCTTTTCAATGCTTCTTTTTATTTTTATTTTTTTTTTTTTTTCATAAAAGATGACAGGCTGGTGCTTCAAAAGCACCTCTGAGATGCTCCCCGAGGGTATCCAAACCTTTCCCAGCAGCAGATCGCTGCTCTCGGGGCAGGGCTGGGAGAGGGGACAGTCCCTGCACAGCTGCCTGTCTGGTGACCGCTTCTGGTGGCCACAGCTGGCCGGACTCAGTTCCCATTTTGAGGTTCCCAGTTTTTTTGGCCCTCCCGTGGGTGCCCTCATTGCCGAGGCCAAGCCCAGCCCCCCTAATTTGAGCATCCACAGGGCGCTGGATCCCCTGCAGCTGAGCCCAGCTCCTTCCAAGGGAGCATCCCAAACTCCAGCTCACCCCGCAGGGATCCCGCATCCAGCGCTGCTCCGGAGCTGGCTTCCCACGGAAAAGGGGAAATATCCCAGTGGGAAAACCCCAGGAGGGGCACGAGTGACTTTTCCACGCGGGAAGGTCCCGGCTCCAGGGCCGTGTGTGCAATTTAACGAGCGATCGCTGCTCGTTAAACGCAATGATGTGTGCGGGGATTTGTGTCCGAGCCCGCTCCCGCTGCAGC